GGGGAAAGGTTAGTGAATCTGAGCGCCAGCTGCCAGACCTACTACTTACTCCCTGAAATAAGTGCACGGAAAACCCAAAGGGAAAACAATCTCCAAAGGAAGACAAATATAAGTAAATAAACATAAATGTAAGAAGTGCAGGAAATGGAATTTGCTATTCCTCTGCTTTGATTCTTCAAGGATAGTGTTTTGTTGTGTTTGTATGCAAGCATTTGGATTTATTTTGCAATTGTGCTCAGAAGTGAAGTTTATGCCTAAAAAAACAGCAAGCAAAGCTGACTGTGGAGCCTTCTGATTTTTGTTTTTGTTTTTTCATTTATTTCTGAGAGAGAGAGAAAGAGACACAGAATCCGAAGCAGGCTCCAGGCTCTGAGCTGTCAGCACAGAGCCCGACATGGGGCTCGAACCCACAAACTGTGAGATCATGATCTGAGCCGAAGTCGGACGCTTAACTGACTGAGCCACTGAGGCGCCCCGCCTTCCGATTTTATATGCTCTGATTTTTAAAAAAAAATTGCTTTAGAGAACTGAACCAATGGCCTAGGAAACAGTGACTCATGAAAACTGGCCCACTCCTCAAGGGAGGCCTTCCTGAGGCAAAGAACGGGAGAGGCAGCTTTGGGAGGGACCGCTGTGAGTGAGGCAGGTGGACACCGCAGAACAGCCGTTAGTCAAGCGTCGTTGGAAATGATGACTTCCGCACTAGCCCCCAAGTCCAAGTTTTGGCTCTGGATCTGAAGTTAAATATCGTAAACGTTACATAAGGCTAAACTAGGGCGGGGGGGACTTGCACACGTGGTCCTCTTTGTCACACGGCTCTGCTGTGTGGCCGCAATGGCACTCGCCGGCCATCCATCTTGGACTCACACGGTTTTGGTGGTGTGATGAGAAACCTCTTTGCAGGGAATGTGCAAGGCCCTGTGCTGAGGCTGGATAGCCGACCTGCGCAGCCCTCCTAAAGTCGGACGTGGCCACGGGCCAACACGCCCAAACTGCTGACTCATTCGGCTGTGGGTCATCAGCTCTAAGGAGAAGCTGAAAATCGGGCACAGAGAGCATCTACAAGAAAAGCCGATAACACAAATATGGATGAAGGCTGGGAACACAGTCAGGAAGGCTTTCCTCCTACATTAGATGGACTGTTTACCAAGACAAAACTTCCCTCAAAAATGCACAATTGAGAACACAGTTATTTCATAAATTTTAAAGGCAAAATAAAAATAGGTCCTAGAAAATAATGTGTACTATGCTTTTAAGAAAATTGAGAATCGGAATGTAACTGGGGCGCGCGGGAGGCTCAGTCGGTTTAGCGTCCGACTTAGGCTCAGGTCATGATCCCTAAGTTTGTGGGTTTGAGCCCCACGTCGGGCTCTGTGCAGACAGCTCAGAGCCTGGAACCTGCTTTGGATTCTGTGTCTCCCCCTCTCTCTCAAAAATGGAATAAAACGTTAAAAAAAAGTAAAAAAAAAAAAAGAATCTGAATGCAATAAAGAATTGGGGGCTTTTTCAGACCAAGTGGCAATAACATCCCCCCTTTGACTCATTTAAGATTAGGAGATTTTTTGATGCAAATTAGGCCCAAGGCTAATTACTGAAATAGGTCACTTGAAAAAGTCAATTCTTAACATTTAGAAAACCCACATATATCATTTTGCCACATGTCAAAGCAAATAATCATCTATGAGAAGAACTAATGAGGAAGCGTATCATTTTCTCATGTCATTTCCTAAGGGAACTTAGTGGGTACTTGGTAGGTTTAAAAATACACTTCCAATTAAGGATTAATATTTACTTCTAAAACTCCAAAGCATGGTGACTATATCCTATATCTGGTTAACACCGTAAATCAAATTAAATGTCTTTTAAGAATTCATAGCAGATCCCGTCCATTTCCGTTGGAGAAAAGATACATGAACAGAAGAGCCTACACTGGATGTGTATATCCCACTATACGATGGTTTGGAACTGCAGACCTCCATCACGAGCCACAGACAATGACAATAAAAGAACTTTCTAGAAAATAAATCAAAATTCAAAGAAATTTTTCCTTAAGCTTTCTCCTTAAGCACAGGCAGCAGGACCAGAACCCAGATCTCTGGCCCATTGCTCCAGGAATCGGTTTTATCTAGGGAATTACCCAACACCTCAGGACCCCATGGGCAATTTGGACCGCTCCCCTCTGGGGTAGCTCACTCCAAACCATTCCGTTCCTGTTTCCTTCCCCTAAAGGAACCGCACACAATGATGATGGTGTTAACACTAATACTCTTAGTTACGAAGGTGCTTAGACAATAAGGTTTGGAGCCGAAGACACACTGTATGTATCACAGCACCCTCCACACCAACGTTATCGACTGCCTCAAAGTAAACTGACGATCTCAGGTGTTAAAAATACATTTGCAAAGCTGAGTACCATCCCGCGATCTTGAAGAGTACTATTTTAAGTCGAGTGGGGCTCCTGGGTGTGTGTGAGTGATCGTTTGATGTGGAAATATGTGACTTCTAAAAATCTTGACATTCTTAACTTTTTAAAACTATTTTTAAATGTGATCTTCTTGTCTCTCCCCTTCTTTCCTGGGCAAGCGGTCTATCGGTGGCCTCTGCTGTGGGGCTAGGATAAAAAAGGAGTTTCTGGCTCTTCCCAGGCACCTGGAGTATCTTCCAGGGGTCCCCCAGGTCAGCCTCCCAGCCCTGCACAGCCTCCCAGGGACAGCGCTCACACAGCCTCTCACGGTTTCCCACTCGAAACCCTTAACTCTATCTTAGGAAAGATTCTTTTATCCCAGGCTACCACATGGTTTTGTACAGTAAACCTGAACTCTGAGGCGAGTCCTGCAAACTGCCTGCTACTGAAGCTAAGACTGAGTTCTTACCAAAAGAAAGACAGTAAGAGACACCATGGCTGTATGGATTAATATTATAATTGTAAATTAAACTGCGCTTCTGAGTGCACAACTGCCATGTATCGATGCCATGTGGTTACTCACCGCTCACCCCGTTACCACGGAGGTGCCGACAGCAAGCACGCAGTGTTCTGCATTCCCGCATGGAACCTCAGTGAAGGCCAGATCCTACCACGTGTGCCGAAACCCCACGTGCACCAAGGGCGGAGACACAAAATGTACAAGCCCTCTCTATGATGTCAATGAAAATCAGGGGGCAGAATCTGGGGGTGCTGGCTTGTGTCCGTGGAAGAGCCAGCTCGTGGACTTGGGCTTGCACACACAGCTCTAGTGACACTGACCCACACAGGAGCAGTGGGTGCTCGGCGGCGCCCCCTCTTGGGCATTGCACCTGCTCTCTCCCACCTCCCTGGGCACCAGCCTCCTGTGTGAATCCACCTGGGGTCAGTTTCAGTTCCCTGCACTAAAACATTACTGCCCTCGGTAAACAGTCTTTAAAATATATTTTTTTAATTCTGAAAGCTTATTTATTAGTGAGAGAGAGAGAGAGAGAGAGAGAGAGAGAGAGAGAATCCCAACCAGGCTCCATGCTGTCAGCACAGAGCCCGACCCGGGACTCGAACTCACAAACTGCAAGATCATGACCTGAGCTGAAGTTGGATGCCTAACTGACTGAGCCACCCGGGCGCCCCGTGAAAAAGGCTTTAAAATAAATATATAAACACATAAATGGCTAGGCTTCCAGTAGCGCCATTTATGTTACCTAATAACTATTTTATGTTTTAAAAGATTTCTCTATTATTTTGTATACTTTACCACCCCATCTGCTTGTTTCTTCCATCGGAATACTTTTATTTCATTTTATGATAATTATTCTTTTAAGTCTATACTTTTCCCTTTTCCCTCCTTTGTGGTACTTACTCTTGCTAAGCTAGTCTCTTGGTGTCACGCTGGCTTAAAAATAGGTTTTTAGTCTCTCGTGCTTCAGGTTTGCAGCAAAGGACAAGATAATGAGATGACTATGACCATCTTCATCTTAATAATGAATGCGGTAAAAACTAGCCTACTGTTGAGTACTAAGTACGTATCCAGGGAGTTACCAACTTTGCACACTAAGGAGCGGCTGGTGAGTTGAGGAACCCAGTTTCAATGGGATCAAGAAGACAAGGGAGGTGCGTCCAGTGGACAGCAGTTCTGAATTCCCTGATGGACGAAAGCCGTGGTATGTGAGCAGACAGGGCAATGCAGCCCCGAGCATAGCTTTAAACCAAAGAAACGAAGAAAAAACTGTCTCACTGCTTGAGTGATGTAACCAATGGCCTCAGTCACCCAGACTGCACTCTGACCAAATTCTGGACCTGGAATAACCCTCCTTTGGGCCAAGCTGCAATACTAGCAATCTGCCCCTAGGGGGCATGTGCTTGGGTGTGTGCATCCCTGGACTTCACAGCTTCAGGGAGGGAAGGGTAGTTCAGATATGGCCCAAAGGATACACAGTATGTTTCCTGAAGCAGTGTGTCACTTTACCTTGCAGATAGAAAAAAAAAGTAATTCATTGAACAAACCCAAGTTTTTGTCTTACTCTTCTAATCGTGGTTGGCCTGGAACCCCTAACCATTGAATCTGGGAGTCCCATGCGGAAAGGGTGCCATCATCCAGCTGTTCACTGCTGAGTCCCTAGGGCTTATGCCATTTCTGGCGCAGAGTAAATACTAAATGCATGAGTGAACGATGGATGGATGGATGGATGGATGGATGGATGAAGAGAAAAGTCATCGCACAAGATTTACCTATCAGATCTCACCAACGGTCCTTAAAAATGTTTTTGTCAGTAGAGACGCTGAGTATATTCATACATATCCATTTATTTCAATACTATAAAAACTCTAGGGTTTTTTTCCTCTTTGGGTATTTGTATTATCGAGCACTATGAGTATAGGGTCCCTCATTCAATTAAGGTTTCATTAGAAAAAAATGGACAATTTTCAGCAAAGATTCTCACCGAATTATTTGCCATAATAATAATTAAAAAAACCAATACAAACCTATTTAGCTTATCCTATATTCTGTAAAATAAATGAATAAAATTATACTTACATATAATGTAATAATCTCTGTTCTTCTGAAATTCTAGACCCCAGAGATTAGGGCTGAACTCTTGAAACTTGATGGTGAATTTTACATCTTGGTCTGGTCTGGCACAGTTGAGAAGAGGGGTATTTTCCTTCTTAATAGTGCATCGGTCTGCTTGGTCCTTATCAACCATATAAACTTTATAATATTCATACTGGCCAACAGTTTTAGAGTCCACTTTGGGGCAAATAATATCCAATTTGTCTCCTATCTGTGGGTATAGTACCAGTCCTTGTCCAGGTAGAAATCTAAAAGCATAAAAAAAAAAAAAAAAGCCACTGAGTTGGTAAACACGAACAGTACCAATGATAATGACAATATAGCCAGGCAAGGTCAATAATTCCAGAGCGTGCTTTGATCAATCTGCATTGGTATTCACCCGAAGTATCTTAGCTCAGACCATCACGGGGCGAATGTACTTAGGAACCAAGCTTTAAAGAAAAAAAGAGAAAAGAAGCCACTCTCCTTATACCACCTCCTCGCTTGTAATATTTCAGTGCTCCTTTGTGTAACTGCACAATAACTTTTCCTCGGTGGTGAGTCACACCTTCACACCTGTTTGTTATTTTTTAAAACATCGGCAGCTTTAGTTTATTGGGCAAGCTGCAGAAGGGGAATGGGCTCCAGGGAACAGTGGTGTGCTCACACTCTGCTGTCCTGTTGCTTGCCATTTGCTGTTGATGTTAATTAACAGACAAGTTTCATCAAGAATGTTTCAAATGACTTATCGTAATTAGTGAGCCGCTGATCAAACAATGGGGTTTTTATTAGCCCGAACAAAAGAAATGTCTTACAAACCCATAAAAACTAACCAGAAATAATTCCCCTGGTGTATTGATTCAGCTGCAAGATGAAGAGTCCCCAAATTACAAGGACAGCCACTACCATCCCTGCTTCACCAACCTTTTTCTCTGCCTTGAGATGTATTTGCTCCAATTAATTCTTAGAAGCAAATCTTTAGAACTGAGATGACTGATACAATATCCCCTTAATGCCTCCAGCTAAAAGCTGCCCTCCTCTCTTTTCTCCCTCATGCTTGCCATGCTGCTGAAAGATCTTTCTTAATGGGGAGTTTCTCTGAGAAACTGAAACAAGAGCTTTCTAATGAACATCCATCTACAAGGGCTAACACTAACAACACACTTAGAAACCCCATCTTGTACCTCCCTCCAAGCAGCCAAGCCTGTAGGCTCATTAAAATATTAAAGCCCGAGAACAAAGCATCACATCTGAATCCTTCCAATCCAATCCTTTATTTAACCAGGGGAGTCCACCAGCCATGACAATTAATGGGTCATAATTCACAGAGAGAGAGAGAAAGAGAGAGAGAGAGAGCACGCCTAGATGATGAGGCACCCCAATTTCAAGTACATAGGTGAGGATACAGGTTATGATTTATGCTGATAAATGGTATTAATTTTCTGAAAAGCACATGAGGTTGATGAAGCATCAAAGAACATAACAGATTATGGTATAGATTGATATTAAAAACCAATACCCTTTATGTCAGGAAAAATGCATGCTGCCCAGTGGGTGATCATCTTCTTGGGAATGGGTCAGTTACAATCCCAAAGAGAGTGTGCTCCCTCGTCCCTTTATTTCCTGGGCGCCTTTAGCAAGGGCATGACATTCATAGAAACAGACAGAGAAAGAAAGAGAATCTAACAAAATCTTTCTCAAAATGAGCATTTTTCATTTTATAAGAATGACAAACTTCAAAGAACCACATGTGCACCCTGAAGAATTTCTAAAACTTCTGACAAATGTGGACCAGCTTGAGTAAGAGCCTCTCTGACTTTTTTGGCCATTTATACAGTTTTCTGGGGAGACGCTTTGAAAATTCAAGTCCTAGGCTACTCTCTCCACCTCCTAAGTGTCCGTGTGCTCTCTCTGGGCAATCTGTCTTTCTTGTGGGTCAAACACAACTCTGGGTCCTGGGGGATGGACTGAAGGGCTGATCCGAGTTTACTCCCGCCCCTCACAGTGAGGCTGTGTGTCGCTGCGCTCACCCACGGGGGCAGGGTGCCTGGCAGTCAGTATGAAGGAAATGTGAGCATTATATTGCTCGCTTTGCTAACACATCCTTTTCCTCCTGTTTTATTCCTTGACCTTCTTAGGAAATCTTCACTGCGCCCAAGAACCAGGGGCCAATTCCTGCCTAGGGGTGAATCTGCTCCCTTGGGAGCTGGCAGAGAGAGAGTGGCACATGTGAGCTGAGTTAGAAGCATTCCTAAACTCCAGCTAAGGCCTGCAGCCCTGGGCCTGTGTCTGCCTCCTCCCAAAGCACTGGTCTTCACACCCATCAACTTTTTTTTAATGTTTTTTATTTATTTCTGAGAGAAAGAGAGAGAGAGAGAGAGAGATGGCGTGAGCAGGGGAGGGTCAGAAAGAGAGGGAGATACAGAATCTGAAACATGCTCCAGGCTCTGAGCTGGCTATCAGCACAGAGCCTGATGTGGGGCTCGAACCCACAAACCATGAGATCATGACCTGAACTGAAGTTGGACGGACGCTTAACTGACTGAGCCACCCAGGCGCCCCACACACCCATCAACTTTGACCTTGGACCATTTTTCCAGGGACTCGCCCAGGCTTTAGAGCAGCCAGATGGACCCATTTTCTGGTGCAGCTGGTCAATTCCCTTAAGGGAATGTTGTGGACCTGCCCACCTCCCGCCTCCCAGGTTCACATCATGGCTGTTTACCAGAACTCACCGCCTCACATCCCATGGGTCACTAAGCTCTTTCTTCATTCAAAATGCTCCCTGGATCCTGGATCCTTCATGGAGGGCTATTGTTTTTTTTCCTCTTAACTAAAGAATCACTGCAGATCCTCCTCACCATGTATGTAACGGCCTATGACAGTGTCTTCACACTCCCCAAATCTGAGTCACAGCTTCGGCTGTGGCTGACCGGCTGGGGTCGGGAACCTACGATGCATGGGCCAGTCTGGCCGTGAGGACCACTGTGTTTTAGACTGTATTTTCAGAAGGCACAAATCACGTGAAAACTGGAAACTGTCAGTGGGGAGGGAGTGACGGATGGCGAGGGGTAAGCCACGGGATGGCTTGGGCAAATGCAAGGGAAGGGGAGGAACCTCGACTTTCAGTAAGTCTATCTGATACGCTCATAAAAAGTCAGTCCTGATGAAGCCTACTGTTCCAAATGCCTCGCAAAGTGTCTGTTGGCTTTTCAGAACACGCTGTGCCAAAAAGAAAGGCAAGGATTTGATCCTTTTCTCTTTCAAGAATTCCTTAAAGAAAGACCCGGCACTTGACTGCTTTAAAGGTTTACTTATTTTTAAAGAAAAATAATTTTTAGTGTTTATTTATTTTTGAGACAGGGAGAGACAGAGTGTGAGCAGGGGAGGGGCAGAGAGAGGGGGAGACACAGAATCTGAAGCAGGATCCAGGCTCTGAGCTGTCAGCACAGAGCCCAATGTGGGGCTTGAACTCATGAACTGTGAGAACGTGACCTGAGTGAAGTTGGACGCTTAACTGACAGAGCCACCCAGGTGCCCCCAAAGTTTACTTATTTTTATACACGTATATATATATACATAAACACTATATTATATATTTACATGTAAACTGGCTTATATATAACATGATTTATATGTAATACAATGTATATAATGTAAAAAAATATATAAACTATATCAATACACACACACACACACACACACACACACACACACAAACTGATTGGCCCACCATTCAACCAATGAGATGATGGTTTCTCAGCAGAAGCAGAGAGCCTGAATCATGAGCTTCTTGGCTTCATCACCACTGTGAACCGTGAGCCTCGGAAGCCCCTTTGCTTCCCAGGAACCCTTAGTTTCTAAGGCGACATGAGGGCAGAGAGTCGAGTGAGCGCAACAACCTAAGCAACCTGTTTTGTGCCAGGTGCGCTGAGCCACAAAAAGCATCTGGCCCTTCTCCCCAGGAGCGGGCAGTCTAGCTCCCTGAGGGCAGGCCAATCCCATGTGTCTGAGCACTGAGTGCCCAAGGGCTGACATATACTAAATGCTCAATAAATAACATAGTCCTTGAAAAAACACAGAAGAACAAGGGGAAGCTAAGATAATGCACACATAAATTCAAGTGAAATTACGTGCCTTGGTCTATGTGCAGACCACAAGCACGGGAAGATTCTGGGGCTGGGACACGGATGTCCTGATGGCAGAGATGGCGTTTCCAGGACCTCATTCCAGGGCCTGGCGGTGTTTCTAGAGAGCAAGGAGCAGTGCACACTGAGCACTGGATCCATTCTCTCCGGAAGGATCTGTGAGCACAGCCGTCTTGTACAACGCCTTCCTGTCTAACATGCAAGGCACTCAGCCTCTCCAGAACCACTAATAACAGAAGTGCTGCTACGGGGCGCCTGGGTGGCTCAGGCTCAGGTCACGATCTCACAGTCCGTGGGTTCGAGCCCCGCGTCCGGCTCTGTGCTGACGGCTCGGAGCCTGGAGCTGCTTGGGATTCTGTGTCTCCCTCTCTCTCTGCCCCTCACCCACTCGCTCTCTGTCTCTGTCTCTCAAAATAAAATAAAGACATAAAAAAAAATTAAAAAAACCACAAACGCTGCTGCTTTCGAGAACTTATTCTCGGCTATGCGCTGATCAAAGCCTTTATACCACGTTATCCTCCATTTGATCACTGCACACGTACATGACACGCCAAGCAGATGAAGACCCGCTTTGCCAAACACGCGACATGACAGGAAAAGCCCCTTCCTTTGCACACTTTTCAGTTCTCGCCGCGGCATCACATTAAAGCATAAATCTGGGTTTGTGAGATGCAAGTTTTTCTAAATCGAGCTTTGCATAGATAAGCCACGAGGCTAGGGAAGAAGACGGAGACAGAGTCGAGGGAGGCGCAGGCCACGGGTGTGGTCACATGGCGTCTAGCTGCAGGCCAGGCGTGGTCAGTGGAGACGTCGCCCCCGGAGGCCAGGAACTGAGAGGGGAGGAGGAAACTGACCGACATGAAATTTGAGTTTTGATTAGAATGCTATGGGTGGTCTCCTGATAACTGCCTGAGAATCCAAAATGTACATGAAAACACAAGTGGGTAAATTTCTTAATAATACCACTTCTGAGTGGAAAACAACGACAATATGTCAAAATCAAGGCAGTAGCCACAGAGTTCTGCTTCTGAAACTAGGTCATTTATATTTGGGTTTTATTGCCTCAAGATCGCTGAGAAGCCTTAATAAGTCAGACTGGACGACACAGCGTAAGCCACGGC